GCGCTCGGACTTCGACCGTTCCTATTTCTTGCCGCGTGCACAATGCCGCGACGGCGCCCAGCCATTCGGGCGGCGCTGCATTGAGTGACCCTTCTGTCGGGCATTCAACGCCGACGCTGCCAATAGACTGGCGCGCCGCGGACATCACGGGAAAACGCGCAAATAGCCGCGCGTTGACATGTTTTCAAATGTCTTCGGGGGAATCCGGGCCCGACCGGCTGCAGATCGGGGGGGCGAGAGCGAGAGGACGAGGGGAAGGCCAGGAGGGGGACGGCGCGGAAGGCAAGGGGGGGGAGGAGGACCACGAAGAAGAGGAGCGAGAAGGGAGGGGGGGGAACGAGGAGGGAAGAAGGGAGGAGTGGAGAAAGAGGAGGACTCTCTGGGACTCTCTGGAGGGGGCCTCCAATTGGACTCTGGGAGGTGGCCTCTGTCGGACTCCGTGGTCCGATCGCTGCATCGGGGCGCCGTCGCGCCGAACCGCCAGACCTCGTTGCCGACGGAAGCCCGCGAGCTGCGCTCACGCCACCATGAGCTTCGAAAAGTGCCTCTGCCAAACCCCAGGATAGCCCGAGAGAGCCCGAGGAGATCCCCGAAAGGGCCCAAGGGAGGTAGAAGGGCGGGAGGAGGACAAAGAAGGAAGGATGGGGAAGGAATGTCTCTTCGCTGCCTGCGTCATGAAGCCAAGCTCTGGCGCAGGCTGAACCTTCATCGTTGGAGGAGGAAGGCAGGAAGAAAGCAAAGAGGCACGGAGCGGACGAGTAGAAGGACGAGGGAGGAGGCGAACAAATGATAATGATGAGGAGGAGGAGGAGGACGACGACGACTGGGGAGAAGGGGGAGGATGAGGAGGACGACGAACGAGGGGGGGGGGAAAGGGAAGACGAAAGCGGGGAGGACGAGGAGGAGGATGCCGCCTCTCGGAGAGGGCGTCGGCCCGCGCTCTGGGCTGCGGGCCGCCGTCGTCCGAGGCAAAGCGGAGAGCCCTCGACCCTGCCGTCCGCGGCAGCCGCGGGGGGGGCAGGCGAGGGGTGCACAAAAGGGAGACGTCGCGAGTGCCGCCGAGCGCGGCCGCGGGGGCGCCCGCCCGGAGCGTGCGCGAGGGGGGCCGACAAGGGGGGGGCGGAACCCTGGTGTGGGAAGTCCGTCCGAGGAGGAGGAGGAGGAGGAGGAGGTGGAGGAGGAGGAGGAGGTGGAGGAGGAGGAAGCGAGGAGGAGGAGGAGGAAGCGAGGAGGAGGAGGAGGAGGAGGAGGAGGAGGAGGAGGACGAGGCGGAGGAGGAGGCGGCGGACGAGTCGATGCCTGGGAAGCCCGTCCCCCCACTGTCGACGCCCCCGACGAGAGGATGCGCATCCGTCAAAACGTATCCGCCGTTGTGCCGTGAGGCCCAGACATCTGGCGCGTGAGCAAAAACGGTCGGTCGCCCTCCCTGGGCCCATCGGAGGCTCTCTTCTTACCTCAGTGGACGCCCCCGAACAAAAGGGGCGCTGGACGAAGCACTGACAATTCGTGCGGAAGTGGCGGAGAGGTCTGGGACCCTACGCACGCGGCCCCAAAGATCGGAGCGCCCGATGTCTGGGTGGGCACCGAGTGGGGTTCTCAAGTGCATTCGAAGCGTGGCAGCAAGAATGCTGGCCAAGAACATGAGCCCCCTCGATGAAGGCCCATGGCCCCATTCAGATACCCAAGCAAACACTATTCCATGGTGGAGAGAGTCCGAATGCGAAGATCACAAGACATACGGGAACGCTCTAAGCTAGGGATACTGCTCACCTTCGTGACAACTGAAATCCTCAGAATGGAGGCCTTACAAATGGGGTCCGAAAATATAGGGTCGTAGGTTCGCACCGATGAATTTCCCATGCATCGGCGATGCATCGGGAGACCTCGGCGATGCACTGGCGCCGATGGCGCGAAGAAAATTAACTCCACATCAGGCCGCATCGCCGATGCATCGGCGCTACGGCGCGATCCTCCGACCCCATCTACTCGGACCCCATCTGAGAGGTCTGAACAAAACTGGGCATCGTACGTACAGCCGAGGCCGATTATTAGGTCGACCCTGCCAAATCAAGGGTACCCTCGTGTCCTGTGCCTCGCGACCCATGCCTTCCCACGTTCCTGTGGCGACGTGGTCCTCGGAAGGGTCTCGTGTCCTCTCGCGTGTCCACATCGAGCCGCATCGCCGACGCATCGGCGATGCGGCGGGATCCCCCGAACCCATCTACTCGGACCCCATCTAAGAGGCCTGGACAAAACTGGGCGTCGTGCACACTTTCTTATCTCGGCTGCTAGGCAGAGGGATTGCGCTGGCGGATAGGCATTGGTAGGGCATACGAACGCGAACTAAGCCGCAATGTATGAGGGGGATGGAGGAGGCGCCCGGCGGTGGCGGGAGGGAGACGGGAGCCGGGCCCCCTCAGAGCAGGGCCAGGCGGAGGCAGGGCGTCGTACAAAACCCAAGGCCACATAGCCCTCGACTCGTGGCAGCTCCGTGCGCTCC